AAAATGGAAGCCCTGATATTTATACAGCTCTACAAGGAAGGGGAAGGGAAAAGAACACATACGTATACATATTCATCTGATGATGCAGGCACTCCTAAATGAGCAGTCCCTGTTCTTGGCCGCTGTTACTTTCTGTCCCTGTTCTTGGCCGCTATCTACAAGGACGGAACAACTGCTATCTATAAGGAAAGCAGTAGTGTCGGAGGGGAAGAAACAAATTGTTCAAGGTGCCAACTGCCAGGAAGAAGACATCCTCCCTTACGTTGCTATGGGGATGTTTGTGATAAGCGGTTTACAATCAGCCTAATTCATACCAGCTTCAAGGGTGCTGCGCATTCCTTTATGTTTCAATTTTATTAAGGTGATCCCATTCATCTGAGGCCTCTAAAACTTGCTTCTTTCACCCAAAGATTCACCCAAGGATATATTTTTCTCACACTGGGCCTATGCAGCTGGTGTGTTTAAGGCATTCTTGACAAACACTCATTCTTACTTCAAATCACATTTTGCTATTCAAATCTAGATATGCCAGCTCTGATCTTTCTCTATTCTCAGTGTAACTTAGCCAGCATATGCAAGTTCTCATCTTTGGGTTGTAATCCTAAACCCACAGATAGCCTTACTGAGCATGGTGGGACACTTTTGAATAATGGTGCGTAGGAGTGTACTGTAGCACTTCCATGCACAGATAAGAGGACCTTTTTATCTCTGATAGTTGCCAACAGTATTCTTGTGGGAGGCTCTCTACAAGCAGTGATAAAACTTAAGCTACTCTAGTAATTCTGAAATACTTTAAAACTTGACATGGGGATTCCATTCACTGGTCTCTATTTTTTTGGGGGGGGGGTTGTGGGGAAGAAACTCTAGACCTCCCCCCCAAAAGGAGAAGATGATTAATTGCTCTATCCCTAATGATATCACTGTTGTAACATTTTTATATATTTGCTTTAGAGGTTTTTAATTTTTATACATCATTGATTTCTTTCAAGATGTTGAGTTTGAAAACAGATTTGAGTCTTGTAAAGGGAAGAAAAGAAGATCTGATTTTAAACAAATGAGGAGGGAGAGATGGGCTGATTTAGAGGAATGATACCCTTCCCTCCAAAATAATAACAACCAAAATGACAACAATGAAGATAAGAATTCCAGCAAGTAACCTGCTTTTAAATATGGAACTTATTTATAAACAATTAAAAAGATTCTGGCCTTTTTCTTTTTTTTGCACTTTTACTAGAATGGGAACGATTTCAGTCTCTTCTGAGAAGGCAAACCAATCTGCCTTTGGATTTTGTTTGCATAAGAGTTTCTAGCCAGGTTATCAGTGTGGGAATCCTCTCTTATCAATACTGCCTGATCCGTGCATGGAACATTTTGCACATCCATAGTCCACAGCTTTTCAAGAAACAGTTGCTTTGTTGGGTCAGAGCAGAAAGGTTGACTAGAACCAGTAAGGCAGCTATATGTCTCAGAAAGCACACAAAACTAAAATACACATCTAGGTTGTTTTCTTCCAGACCTAGTTTTTGTTCGGCAGATTTGACAATATTGGGAGGTCCAGCCCCAAAGTGAAGCATGTATGCCTTGTCCATTCATGGACCTGGAATATGCATCTTCTGGCAGAGGTGTTGTGTGGTGGGAAACAGTGGGGAAAAGGTAGGCAATAAAGAAGTAGTGGTGGGAAAGGAAGGTGTGCAGTTTTGGAAAGGTGGGTTGGTTGGGGCAGGTCAACGATGGGTAATGAATGCATGTGGCACCAGGGAAATGGGTCAGGTGAGTGCAAAACCTGGTGGTGAAGAGATAGGGCAGTGGATCTGTTGGGTGTGCTGGGTGATTAATGGGTAGCAGTGAACAAGTAAAATATTCATTGACAGAAAGATTGAATGGGTGCACCAGATGGATGTGGTGTAGCAGGCAGGAAGATAAAGGAAGATTGGGTTGGATGAGCCCAGGGGGGCCAGATTTCCATGCTTGAATTCAAGGTCAGCAGTGACTAAGGGGAGAAAAGCACTGGGAAGATTGGTGGGCATGCTGATTCATAGGCTTTGCAAACAGGAGGGGAGAAACATACCAACCTTGCCTAGTTGCCTTTTAGGGTTCTTCCCAATTTGTTTTGGCTGAAACCTGAATTACCCTAAATTATCTGGGTTTGGCTCTGGAGAGATGATGATGACCACATGGAATGGTCTGGCTGAAGTTCCAAGCCCCAATGTGTTTTGCATAAAGGCAGAGCAAAACACATTTTTTGCTTTGCGCACATCCCTACTGTGAACCAAAGGAGCAAATTATTTGAGAGTCCACCAAATATAATTTGCAATAGTTCCTTTTCCTTGTAACAGACTGTCCTCATCATCTTTAGACTGATACAGATGTTGTTCAAATCTGTGAATATGTTTTATTCACAGGTTGTACCAAATGGTCAAGATACTTTATTCCTTTGGGATTTTTGTGACCTATTCGATTCAGTTCTACGTTCCAGCCGAGATCATCATTCCAGTTGTAGCAGCCAGAGTGCAGCAGAAGCTGAAGATGATCTCTGAGTTGATTGTGCGAGTGCTTCTGGTCTGCTCAACCTGTAAGTACAAAGGCTTAATGTGGGGTTCTTCCAGGTGCGATGGGCAGAAAGGGGAAAAAAATGGATTAAATGTAGAGTTCAAGTCTTCTCCCTCTGTCTCGCTCTCTCTCTGTGAATGTACCTAACATATCAGCTATATGAACTTGACCTCCTTGAGGAAGATTTATTAAAATTCATATTATTTACCTGTCTCTTGTAGGCTGGGACATTTTCATTATATCTCTGGCTACATTTTCACTGTATACAGGATGATATTACAATAGATCCTTTCCCAACCTTCATGCATCTGACTCTTTCCCAAGCCATTGGCTGAACTACAAATCCCAGTATTCTCAGCCAGCTGCCTGGTTGAGGCAGATGAGAGTTGTAGTTCAATGCTTATGAGGAATGTCAGCTTAGGCATGAGGAATCATTAGTAAGTAATCTCTGAGATGGCTATGAACTTAAACCTAGCTCAGCTTTAAACTGTGTCATCGTGAGGCCATGTTGCTCACTGAAAAGAGCCACGTGTGTAAAAAGAAGCTATAGAGTCAGGCTTTTCGTCTAGGGCAGTGATGGCGAACCTTTTGGGCTTGGTGTGTCAAAAATTCGGAAAATGCCTAACTTGACTCTGCTGGCATGTCACACACACACACACCCCCGTGAACAAAAGAAAAACAATTCTTCACATATTCATTTATTTTAAAAAATTAACAATCCAATCGTGTGGTTCTATGTGTTATATAAAGAAACGTCAAATAATTACAAAAATGAAATATGAGTAAAACAAACTCAGTTTCTTTGTTAACTCAGACAGGGAGAATAGTTGTCGGGTGCTGGTGAATCTGGCATGTCACCCAAAACAGCATCGTGTGTCACTTTTGACATATGTGTTGTAGGTTCGCCATTAATAGTCTAGGGCCTAATCTCATATGGCAGTTTTGCTCCAAGTCTGAAATAGGAAAGCCGTAGTGTGGACCTAATATGTGGAGTCTCTTGTAGGCCAATAAGGTATCGGTGGAGGTCCATATCCATTAGTATTTCTACCTCATGTGCCCATGTTACTGCTATGATGGTAGTTGTGATGAACTGTGTTTATTTATTCATTGGATTTACATCCCTCTTTTCCTTCAGGAGCTTAAAGTGCCACACATAACACTCCTTCCTCTATTTTTTTTTGCTGACAATAATGACCCTGTGGATTAGGCTGGGCTGGGAGATCATAACTGGCCCAAAGTCACCTGCTGTCAGACTTCATGCGAGGTGCAACTATTAACCTCTACTCCCCAGGAACAAAACCTTCCATTCAGGAACTAGATAATAGCAGAGGCTTCCAGACTCAACACTACTAGAAACTTAATTTATTGCAGACAGGAAAGAAGGCACATATACTCAGAAGATCTGCCTGGTGCAAAACACAGGTGATAAACCCTATATATATTCAGCCTTAACAGTTTAAAACTTAAGCCTCTTCCTCCCATCCTTTTGAGTCAATGGATTTTGGGCCATTTTTTTCCCAGTCTGGAGGCTGAAATACACTGACTCCCTGTTTACACAGTTGTTCTGTTTGGCCTGAGCAATGTTGGTTGCTGCTTTGCCAGAGCTTTCATGGGTGGGGCTAAAGGTACAGCTCTACAGCTCTTTAAGGCATGAAAGCATCTGTTCTACTTCTGATGCACCAATAACCAAAGTTATTGGGCCAGAATACTTAGTATATAGTTATGCACATTTGGATAGCTTAGAAATATCTTGTTGTATACTACATATTAACCTTTGGGCCAGTTCATTTAATCTCTCTTCTTCCATTTTTTAAACTTAATAGCTGGAGAAATTAAGACAGCATGCTTCTTAACAAAGGACAGCACACTGTGCTCTGAAGTATGAATGGTTTTTGTGTGTTCTTCCACCATTGTGGCCTTGTATTATGCTGCCTACAAATTCAGAGTATCTGTTGACTTGGCTCCTTGATGTCTGATTGCAAGAAGTAGGATATGTCCCTGGCCGCTAGCTGTTGGGGGATGTTTCGAAGTTCTGCCATGCTTCTTCCATGTTCCTAGTATTGTTGATCCGTAGCAGTGTCCACAAAGGGGTGAAAGGGGAGGGGCACATTTGGTAGTGCTATCGTCAGAGCATTTCCTCAGCTTGTTTAAATTCCGCAAATCACATCTGTGAAGCTCATTGGGGAGGAACCTTTTTATTGGACTATTTTCCTTCTTTTCATGTTTGCATGGCTTCCCTCTATTATGTTATGTCCGTATGTTAAGGATGAAGTTCTATATTGTGGTTAATTGGAATGATCATGAGGAAGGAGATCTTTGCCTGTTGTGTTGGTGAGCCAATGAACTTGATGTATTAAGATCTTCTTGAAACTAATAGCAATATATTGAGCAGATCTGAGTTCAGGAATGGATGCTGTAGAATCCATTCCTCACAATATTCTTTTTTGTTTTTTTAAAACATGCAGTCTGCCTGAAGTCTTCACTCTCACATATTGCATTGCATTTGCTTTCTTACTTGGCTTATATGCGGCTTCAATCATTTCAGAGTCTGAATAACATGTACCCTATTCCATAAATATGGTAAAAAATATATATAACAAACATCAAATTACACTTCCCTTCAGAAAAACAATACAAGAACGTACAAATAAAACCACACACTACCAGCAGGAACGACATTCATAACAGATCCATTTTGAAGGCCTGTTGTCAAGGCCAGGTTTTAATAGCTTTTTAAAAGACCAGCAAGAATTACTTATGCCATATTATTTGCCTAATATTCCTAAATTATTACTTGCGAATTGGGTGAGTCATTTCACATTTGCTAATAAAAGTAAAAGAAGCTGTTGGAAACAGGAATAAGCAGGAGATGCAAATTGCTGCAGATATCACTTCTAGCCTGAAGGTTAACTTGGGAGAGGTGTTTGCCTGGTGAATGTAACCATTTAGATGTCTCTTCAATGGTTTCATCTCCTTCACCTCTTTGGTAAACCAATGGGAGTTCTGAAACCTGCAGGAAAAGAGAGGTTGCATGGGTGAAATCCAGTCCAAAGACCCATTGCCCTCTCATTCCAGGCAATAACCAAAGCCTTGGTTTGGCCATGCACCAAACCTTCAGGGAGAACCCCAAGCTCCCTCTGGAACCTTACTGGGTCCATCCATCACCTGGGCAGATTGATCGAATAGGTCTAGCCTCCCTGCGGTGGGGGAGCACCAGAGAATTCTAGGGCCAACAGAGAGTGACAGTGGTTTCCCTCAACTTCAGGTCACATTGCCTCTGTTCCAACAAGAAAATTAGATCTAGAGTATGTTCACTGTCATGTGTTGGATGATCTGCATTCAAAAAAGGCTTGGGAAGTGCTGTTTTAGAAGTTTGATCCCCAAACCAGATCACCCAAGCTGCTCTAGAAACACGTCAAGCAGTTAAGTGCTTGGACCTTGTGAAACCACCCCGAGTTGTTCTGGAATTGGGCAGCCTAGAAATTCAATCAATCTGTCAATCACCATCATTTTTCAACATACATGTATGCCCACATACATTCACATGTCTGTTTCCTCTTCCTTCCTTTGTTTCTCAAACTTTCATTTTCACATTCTGAAACATAAACAGTTATTTTTTAAAAAAGACAACTCTTGAAATATAAAAAAATGGATGCTTTGCAGATCAAATTGGGGGGGGGGCAAGAGTTTGAGAAATAGCTTATTCTAAAAATGACACCTGAATAATTCATGTTAAAAGAAGTTTGTGAGATTTTCTTTTTACAATGAAACCAGTGTAAAAAAAAATATTGAATAACAATCACCTGGGGAAAGAGGAACCTAAATTAGTTTGCGTCTCTTGCAACTATGTGACTTGTGCAGAATTACCAAGTTTGTGAAAGTTACTCACTGTTGTTTTTATCTTGGCAGAAATTTTAATATTAAATTTAGTTCTGGTGTTCTTGCATTTTTAATTAGCAAATTGCACAGTCGATGCTGGTAAGGGACATGATATTCAAATCCTATTTAATAGGATTATGTAGTATCTATATGTATGTAAACTAGTGTGTACTGATGGAACAAAGGGACTTTTTCCAGGGAACTGATGTTGGAGAAAAATCATTTTTGGCATTCTTGGAAAAATACCATAGGTGTAAGCAACTTAACTGGTCTCCAAGTTGTGGTTCTCCAATATTTTAAAGGCCACCCTTGGTGTGGAACATCCCAAAGCCATGAAATTAAATATTTTTTATGGTGTGGTCCATCACCTTTCTAAAAATTGAACTATGTGCAGAGTGAAAATTCTAAGGTGACTACAGAGAAGCTTGCATCCAAGCAAAGCAATCATGCTTTGATTTGCATGCAAACCAAATGTTGTGATGTAAATGAAGTGCATGTAATTAGAATGTGCAGTGAGAAATGCATATAATTCCTTTATTGGTAAGCATGCCTCATTTTGCACAAAAGAGCAGTCTTTGTGAGATCATATTCAACTAACATGGCAGATGATCTTGAATGACCTGGAATCTTGAGTTGGCTGGATTAGAACTGCACTTGGAAGATTTGGGAACAAAATTATATTTATTACTCATAACTTCTTTGTGCTCCCAAGGCGTTATTATTCCTTTTCCCCATTCTAATGGCTTATTTTTGCTTCCTGCGTAGTTCTATTTCATAGTTCTATTTCAAGTTATCTAAAAATGGAGTCAAAAGTTCTGGATGAGCTATTCATTTTGATGGAGATAAAAAGATGTAACTTAAAATATATAATACTTCTTATATATTATTTTGTATTGATCAAATATAAAAGCAATCAACATTTTAGTTTTGCATTCAACCTATAAAAATGCATATTAAATCCACAAGCAATTCCTGTCTCATACAGTATGTGACCTCCCAGTTTATAATACTGCCTCTCTTAGATTGACTTAAACTATATTAACCTTTTCATCCCTTGGTAAAAAGTTTCTGAATTATGAATAGATTGGTTAGAATTTCTCCCATCTGCTGTTATAAGTTTCTGAAATGGAAGCAGAATCCATT